GTTGTTGTTGTTGTTTTTTTTTTTTTTTTTGCAATTTTTAGTGTTTTCTGTGTTTTCCTTTTTGTTTGTTGCATTTTTTTCAATTTTATTTCTTTTGTATTTTGTTTTATTTTCATCATTTTCTTCCTTTTTGTTACATTTCCTATGTTTTCTACAATTTCTTACTTTTCCTTTATTTTTACTTTAATATATTTTATCAAATTTCTACAAAATGGTCTCATGAAATGATATAAGGGAAATTTGGGGTTTAAAATGTTAAACAATCACACATGAAAACTTTTTGTAGGTTTACTATGGAATGTTAATGGTGGGGTAAAGTGCTGGAATCTGAAAGTTCAGGGTGGTCTTTGGCCATGTTTGGGAGTGCTTATACCATAAGCTCGAAATAAGTGCTTATTTTAAAAATAAGCCCAAATTTCCATATTTTTTAACTGCTTATACAATAAGCACTTATTAATGTTTTTCTTCCAAAATTATCCCTAGTTGAATTTTAAAATACCACTTATAAAACTATCTTTACTTGAATTTTATAAAATTGCTTTCAGAAAAGTACATTTATAAAAGTATTTCCGTAAAAGTGTTTTTATAAAAGTAATTTTGTAAAAATACTTTAAAGTGCTTTCATGAAGTACTTTTATAAAAATGTTCTCGTAAAAGTATTTCTATAAAAGTGCTTTTGTAAAATAATGAAGGCCAAATTAGTCACAAATGCTTATTTAAGTGCTTATTGGAGAAAAGACCATCAAACGTCCAATATGAAATAAGTGTTTATTTTTTAAAATAAGTACTTGAAAAAGTTGAGTGCCAAATGCAAATAAGTGCTTATTTGAATAAGCACTTATTTTTAACATAAGCACTCTCAAACATGACCATTGTCACATATGAAAGTTTGGGGGATTAAGTATCACTACCCCCAAAGTATAAGGTGGCAATATGCATGCGATTGACCTTTTTTTTTTTAAATAAAACAAAAAAATAATGTACTTTATTTAGTTTTTGACTTTTTTTTCTCCCTCAAGTGAAACAAAAAAATGCATTCTTAAATTTCTCTTTTAAGTACATGATTTCCACTAGTTGTTCACCTTTCTTATTTTTATTTTTCAATTTGTTTTTATTTATGCTTCAATTCCGAGTCCATAATAAAGTAGTTTGGTATGATATGTAGAAACTTTACAATCAAGGTTCGAAGGGAGATTTTGGTTTCACGCATCGAATATATGGAAATTAAAACATGTTTTTTGTTTGTGAAACTTGATAACATGTTTTTATTTGGGGGCCATTCATTTTCAAGTAAATCACATACCCAGGTACATAAGTGATTCCTTTGTTCTTTTCTACCTACTCTATATATATATATATATATTGTTTTTAGTGCCTATTTAATGGGCATTTTATCTCATTAAACCTTAACAATTTTCTATGGCAGTATGAAAGTAACTTATTCAATTGAGACAAAAGTAAGACTTTTCTGGAGTTGCCAAAAAACCTACTGGAGAATAGTTGCTTTACTTGAGTCCCATATTTACCAATAAATCAATTTTTCCATTGACCAATTTTCTCACATAAAAATAATCACGTTTGGAGAACATTAACTTGAACATGCAGAGGATGTTCCCCAATATGTATGATTTTGTATGTACTAATGCGATATATACAAAAATCATACTAGTGACGAGGAGTGAGACCTTTTGCCCACTTATTGTGTGCCCATTCAGGGAAGGACACGTAGCTTCTCACTCACTCAATCCCTAAGTATAAATTCAACTAAACAAAGTCTTTGTTAATCGTCTATTAATTCATTTATTTTCTTGACTAAAATACCTACTTCTTGAGTTTGCTCCCTCTTTATTGTAAGAGTAGAAATTGTAATTTGAATACTATTATTTATTTCATTGTATTCCTTCTCATTAAGTCTTATACTTGGTGCAATAACTCTCATTCTCTTTCACTGAATCTTATATTTAAGACATCTTTGTTTTTCATTGTTAAATGTCATTTATTTAATCCATGAACAATAATTTCAATGGCATGAAACCTATTTTTTTTTTCGAAATTGACCCAAAAACAAAACAGTTTTTACAAGTGGTGGGCAACCATTTGGGTCAAATAGGCCAGCCCATTATGCCATAACTAAATAATAAAAATTTTTAGATAAAAGTTCAAAAATGAAAAAATTACCAAAACTTTTTGGCGCATCTCTAATATTAAATATTTGTCATATTAAACCAAAATAAGTATAATAACTAAGAAACATTTTAATAAATGATAGAAATGCAATGCAAAATTTAAATCTGACCTAGAAACAAAACCATTTTCTTATCTAATCGACGAGTAAATGGTTCACCCATTTGGGTCAAATTGGTAGACCTGTGATGTCATAGTTAAATATTTATTTAATATAAAATGCAAAGAATTATGGAAAATACAAAAAATAAAAAAATATTAGATACATCTATAATCATATATATTAGTTATACTAAACAAAAAATTATGTAAACAATAGTTATTTTTTATTTATGATATAATTGAAGCATAGAATTTAAAACTAATTAATGTAAAGATGAAGCTATTTTCGTGTTCAGGTGGTAGGCCAAGAGACCAATGTTTTGGATCAAGTGGTGGGCTAATATATTTGTCATATTTGCCATATTAGACAAACATTTGAGCACATTTTTAGTATTATATATTTGTCATATTAGACAAAAATTATGTGTAAAAGGTAAGCTTTACTTCTACTAATGATGGAAATGGAATATAGAATTTAAAATTGACCCAAAAGAACAATAGTTTTTCCATCCTTGTGGTGGGYTAATAGTTCAAGTGTCTTGGTCAAATGAGTCATCCCATGGTGTCATAATTAAGTAATAAAATAAGAAACAAATAGAAATATAATATACTATAAAAAAAAATGTAGAAAAATGTGGGCACATATCCAATATTATATAATGTGATAAATAAAAATCATTTTTATAAATGAAGAAAATGGAATACAAAAAGTAAGGATATGTGCCCACAAATATAAATTTTGTAGGAAACTCCAAGAAAGCTCCATGATTTGTCACATCAAGGTTGACTATAATAAATTAAAATTTCATAGAATTTATATAAAATTTGAGCATGTATTTTACATTATATATTCATCATATTAAACAAAACCATGTGTGAAAAGTGAGAATTTTTGTTGTTAAGGATGGAAATGGGTAATATACAAAAATAGAGGTTAGTGGTTCAACCAATAAGGTCATTTAACTGTAGACCAAGTTAATGGTTTTCTACAACAAAGCTGTTTAATTTGAAGCATACTCAAACATTTGTTCAAAAGATAGATTAATTTATCCAATTGTCTAGTTAAACTACAATTGATATAAAAACTACACGAAAGAAGATTTGAAGCTAGATCTTTAGGTTGATAGGAAATAAGTCTATCAATACACAATGATTCAATTCTATGTTACATGGATTTTAAAAAAATCATTGCAATTATTATTACTATTGTTATTAATTTTATTGTTGTTGTTGCTATTATTTAAAATTGCCACATGCAATTAATATACATGCACATTTGCGACTTAAAACAAAAATACGAAAGAAGAACAAGGAAAGGAACTCAAAAATCAAAAAGGAAATTGAATAGGCAATCTCGTTGTTCCTTCTACTTGTGTCCCTCTTCTCCTTTCTCTCTTATCCATATAGAGACATCCCAATCCATTGGACAATGCTCTCTTAATCACATGGGCTGGACAATGCTCTCTTAATCCATTGGACAATGCTCTCTTGGCCCATTTTATTCATCTGCTTCTCTTTCAATGGTCATCTTTTTTTCCACGACTGCTACAAACTTTCTAGTTAGGGGGATGCTTAGTATCATAGGTTTCTTTTTTTTTTTTTTTTTTAAACAACTACACCTTATAATTTGGTCAAGTAACTATAGGTTCTATACATATTTTATGGTAATTTGGTGTATGGTAGGCACCATTAGGCGACACAAGGCCAAAAAAGTAAAAACATTATTTCCTTTGCAAGAAACATAATAATGACATTTTCCACAAATCAATTTCACAAAATTCGAGGCATTTAGTGTTGCTTAAGATATCTGCTAAGCCTTGAAACAATAAGTGAGGAAGAGAACAAAATAACCCACATTTGCTATGACGCTATCGTAGCCGTGTGCTGAAACAATTAAATCAAAGCCCGCCATGGCCCCACCTTGAACTAGATGAAGTAATTTCTTGATGGGGCTACTGCAGTACATCTAGGTCATGCATGATTTCTTGTTTTAGCCCTACGCCACAACAGTGTCGTAGAAAAAATGAAATGCCTACATGGCACTGATTTTAGTAAAAGTGACTTGTAGACATGACTCTTGTACCAAATACCTATGCTCTGTTTGACATTAATTATGGGGATTCTCATTCTCAGCATCCTTTGAGAAAAGAATGAATTCTGAGAATTTTCATCTTAAGAATCACCAATCTTGTTTGGTGTAGTTATTTGATTCCTATTTCTCAAAAACAGAATCACATTTGGCAGCATTCAATTTTTTTGAATCAATTATATGATCGTTTGATAGATACAATCATAACAATTATAATAAATATAAGTTCAAATAGAGTTACATTGCACTCTATTACTTTTGCAAACTTCATCCTTCCAATAGCTCTATCTCTCAGATTCAAACCTCAACAAAAAACGGTCAGTTCATCAATCATCAATTGACTAGTTATAAGAGATTTCAATGCTAAAATCCTAAGTTCAAGTTCCACTCCCCAAAAGATGAAGCAATAACAGAGCTAGAACTTCCATTCGTTGCAAATCATTTCKCAAATTAACTGATAAAGTTGAACTACTTGCTTTTTGTAATTTCTAAAATATGTTAACTTTTTAAAAATATATCAAATAAGGACAAAAACATTGTTCATCTTCTTCCTCCTACAAACCATCCATCAGTGCCACCGCCTCTAGCAACCTCTGGCAACGCCTCCAYCCAAAAGTTGTTCTTATCAGCTATAATCCCTAAGCCTTATACCATTGCAGAGGCAAACAACTGCTTCAATCTCTAGCAAATCTCCAAGCACTGAACAACAAGCATTTTCCACTAGGTTCCCTAATCCAACATGCACCAACCCGCTAAGAACATCCAAGCACAACCCTAGTTTCAGCGCGTTGATTGGGCATGTCAAACTGGTTGAAGGTGGAGGATTTGCCCTTGGAAGTCCACTTCCACCTCCAGAAGGTGGTGTAAGACCACCACCACCACTGCTACCTCTTGAAGGAGGGTTACTAGTGTAAGGCGGGTACGTGGATGACGGAGGTGGAATGGTTACAGGAGGATTGGTTACCGGTGGAGTAATAACTGGGGGATAAATGATGATGATCAACGGGACAATAACTGGCGGCACTGGCGAGTTGTTGGTCGGTGGTGAYACTTTACATCGCTCTTTGCCATGCTGCGGTTGGGATGGTGGGTGAGAATGGTACGGTGGGCGATGGGGGACTTTTGGTGATCTCAAGCGGGGGTGAGGTGGTGAGGGCAACGCCAGTAACAGAAAGATCATGAAAACAAAGAAGCATGTTGTAACTCTGGAACCCATGAATCCCAAACTCGAAAGCTTTCATGATTGCAAGTGTTCTTTTGCTTGCTCGTTTTATAGTTTGAAGCCAAGATTTATAGATGAATTGTAAAACTGTATGAACAGCCCGTGACATCTCAATGACTACCATTCACTAGTGCTGCCGCCACTACCTCTGCCTCCACTCACCTCCGGCAATGCCACCTCCGCCGCAGCCTTGTTAATCTCAATGACTATCATCCACCAGTGCTGCTGCCGCCTCCATCTCTGCCCACCTCCGACAACGCCAATTAGACGACATGAGGTGGCCGGTGCTGTTGTCAAAGGTGGGCGGAGGCAGCGCTGAAGGATGGTGGTCATTGAGGTTTGTAGGACTAGATTGGGGCSAAAGTGGTTTGGAAGAGGAAAAAGATGAACAGTGTTTTTGTCCTTATTTAATATATTTTTTAAAAAGTTCACATATTTTAAAAATTATATTAAAAATATTATTTTTATTGATATTAGGGCTCAAAAATTGTCATCAGCTATAACCCCAAATTCAAATTCACAACTATGTTCTACTTCTACCGTACTTCCAATCTACTATACAACAAACCAAAAGGCACACATCGAAAACAGTATGTTCAAATCGAAGAAACTACGTGGAAACAACCAGGAAACAGTGTGCCATAGGAAAGGAAGATCCAACGATTTCTCCTGTTTGATTATAGTCCCATTGCAGTAATTTCCTTTGGGAGACGCCTAAAAATGAATTGGCATCGCGACAGAGCCAATCAGGTTCACCAAATTGGCAACCTTCACCTGCCACACTATTTCACTCGGTCTGGGCCAATGTTTCCTCCTTCTCAGGGCATTTGGGGACGGTGTTAAACTCTATATGAATCGACTCAGAGGTCGATGGTTCAAACTCCAGTTTTCTGGTGGACTTTTGCTTCATTGACGTCGTCAAGACTCAAGTACACCGACGATTGAAGAACAACAACAGGGTGAAACAACCATTTCTCTGTTGAAGGAGAAGAAAGCACTCCCGCAAATGCTCGATAGATACTTTTCATGGAGGAAGAAGAGATCGAACAATCGATACCTGGAATGTTGACCGGCGCTGGAGTACCTCTGGCTCTGGAACATTACACAAATTAATGTGGGCCGGATGCTGGTGTTTGTTACGTTTGACATAGCCACACGTGTTTGTTACTTCAAATTAATGTGGCGAGAATTGGGCTTTGGCCAGAATTGCGTTTCTAAGAAGTGAAAATTTTTCACTCCACGGAATTGTATGTCTGGACTCTGGAGGGGTTTGCTCATCCTGTTTCGAATGAGAATCGGTTAACCGGTTTCCATCAAAATTGATTCTCATCCTAAGAATCATCATAATCGATAGAATCATTCTTGAGAGTGATGCCAAACAGGGCCTTGGATGTTGCTTCACACACTCCTCTCTTCCCCAGTCATCTCAGACCATCACCGATCCCATCCACCTGAAATCTTCTCTACGAATTATTACATATTTGATAGTGTGTAAAATGAATAAACCTTTATTATCTTCGGAGAAGTACCAACAGGCCCATTGTAGATTTCTGAATTTTAGTGTAGATTTATAAACATTCAAAATATCAAATACCCCCATTTTATGTATCAATGCCCGTCCATAAATTGGCATCAATTCCAAACTGCATCTACCTCAACTGTACAACCTAAAACTTCTGACTCTGARCTGAAGGCTGAACCGTCATTCTCTATCTTCTTTTTGAATAGACCACATACAGTCATCCCTCCCCAAGCGTCAAAACCTAAACTATATATTTAGGTTTGAATAAACCACATACAGTCACCCCTCCGTTGTGCTCTTGTCTAAATTAACCAGGCGATTTTACTATCCTAAACTTGTTCCATGGTTTATCAACCGACTGAAGAATGTTGCAGATGATCAGATGGCTTAACCCAGCTTATTCTCTTTGTAGAATGTCTTGCAAGTAGTTCAAGTACGTTGCGTGCATTAAATTAACTGTTGATTCCCTCCGAGGTGTGGCCAACTCACTTTAAGAAGAGACAAAAAAGAAAGAAAACAAAAAGACTAATAAGRAAAGGAAGGGGTTAAGGAGAAAGAGTCATTCTCTTATCTCAACCTTTTCTCATTCGTTGGATAACTTTTGGGGTCATGAAATTTCTTTGAAGGGTTTAAACMAGAAGTTGTTGTAAAGGCGATATCCATCTTTTTGTTTGGATTATGGTTGAATTGGTCTTAGGTGCCATGTGTCATCTTTATAGTTAKTTTATCTCTTTGGCCATGTTGGCACCATATCATATGGATAAGCGCGATTAAGGAAGATGACAACTCCGTTGGGGATTAGCTCTTATCGTGAAAACTTTGGTGGGCAATCTTATCCCGATAATCCCAAAAGTTTCATCTGAATAGGACTTGGATTTTCAGTTATAAATAGGTAAACCTCCGCTCAAGATAAGGGACTTTTGACTCCTCAACTTCCATACTATTATTCTGCTTGGACTAGAATTGCTCTCAATTGCTTGGCTCGACCCCCCACCATTCTTCTTGACTAATTTGAACGTAAGAGTACCTACCTGGGGAATAACTCCTCGGGCCTTTAACTATTTTCTTGTTTCAATTTTTGGAGCACGGGTTCATCCTTCCACCTCGGTCTCATCCCGTTGATAGGACTATTTGACCATGACCTTGATTCGAGACGCCTCGAATCAAACAGCATCACTTTTATTCACCTCCAAAAAGATTTTCTAAGAGTTGTTTGTTCTCTCTGAGAAAGATCTATTCTTATTTGAGCTGAATCAAGAGAGTTTCTCTTGATGATATTATCTTCTAATTGCTGTTAGAGAGGAATACATTGTAATCCCATTATCGAAAGGAATATATTTATAGAACTTCAATTTAGTTTTCGAAGTGTAAGCTGCTAACAAAGGAAGGTGAGGAGAAACAGTATTAAATCACTGAATATTTTTCAACGAGTTCAATCAAACCGAAAAAAAAAAGTCAGCGACTTCCTTGAGTGATGAAACAGAAATCAATGTTTTTGTTTGGTCTAATTTCCCAGTGGAAACGACAGCCCCATTTTCCTTTGAGCGTCATTTCCCAAATTATACACTTAATTGTAAAGTCAACACCCAATAAATATACTCTAAACATTAGAAACAATAATAATTAACAACAAAATCCAGAGACAAATATATATAAATATTACTAATTAAGTTTAATTAAACTTTAAAGTCCCACCAGCTAAAAGAAGGCCAGGGTGAACCAGGCTTAGAATAGAGTTCAGAGAGCAACCGGGTAGCGATCGATGCAGTCGAACCATGGGTTCCTATTGGTCTTCCTGACCCGGCGAAGTGATCGCCACACAACACTGTTGCACTTGAATCCAGATCCAAATGCAAGCTGCCACACACGGTCACCGCGCCTGACCTTCTCCTTTGCTTCCATATAGGCCAGCTCGTACCATATACTGCTGCTAGAGGTATTTCCGAATCGGTGCAATGTCATTCGAGAGGCTTCCATGTTGTCATCGCTGAGCTCTAGATTCCGTTGTAGCTCATCTAGCACATTCTTACTAGCTGCCATTATGCAAAAATGCTCGAAAGCCAGCTTGTAATCAGGAATGTATGGTTTGGATGCCTTTGAGCCACCGAACACTTGTCTCCAAATCAGTGTGCCGAAGAAGAGCAGTTGCTCGGAGAAGGGAAGAACGAGTGGGCCGAGGGTGGTGATGTTCGTCTTCAGGGCGTCACCTCCTACTTCTAAAAGATCTCGACTGATGGATAGCCCCTTGAACTTTTGTTCATCTTCCTCTTGATATACAGCCCTGTTGATCAGACACGATTATTAGTTGCATCCCGCACCCATGAATTAATTAAACTCAATCAAAGCTACACAACAGCAGATAGCATCTCCATTTTCCAATTTCCAACCCAAATCCGAATTCAGACAAGTCCTATGTACTCTACAATCTACACGGAGTTGAATTTAATGGTAACTTGGTAGGTTTGGTTAACTGTTTTTTTTTTTTTGGTCCAGATCGAGCATATCAGGACAAGTCCTACGTACTCAACAACGTAGCTTCCATTGGCATATCAGGACTGTTTTCGTTTCTTTCTCAGTAATGATCATCAAGAAGTGATAGCTGCGTATATACAAAGTGAGATGGGCTACACATCTACACGTTACAACGCGGGCTGCACTTCCATCCGCGTTGTAACACGTAGATGACGGGATATTTCATCACTCAACTCAAGGACTACAATACGAACCTGAAGCTTCGGTCATCAGCGCCCTTGTGAGTCCTGACGATGTGTTCAAGGCTATATTTGGCCCGTCTAAAATCGCGCCTCCGGTTGGACAGCAGCACGGCCGAGCAACCCATACGGAAGAAACAATTGGGGATGAGCATGGAGCGTCTCCTCCCAGGGTACCAATTGAACGTCACCATCTCAGTGCTCACCACGACGGCGTAGCAATTGGAGTTGGCCTGCAACATGTCCCGTGCCAAGTCCAGCGCTATGATCCCCGCGCTGCACCCCATCCCGCCCAGGTTGAAGCTCAGTATGTTGCCCCTCATCTTGTAGTGATTTATGATCATGGCTGACAACGACGGTGTTGGGTTGAAGAGGCTGCAGTTCACCACTAGCACACCCACGTCCTTCGGTCGGATTCTGCACTTGTCGAACAATTCGTCCATGGCCCCGAATATCACCGTCGCGGCTTCAGCACGTCCTTCCTTCATGGTGGCGCAGTTCTCGGGTTGCATCACCGCCTTGGGGATGTAGGTCTCGTCACCCATGCCCGAGTTTTTCAAGATCTGGCTCTGGAATTCCAGGCTTGCCTCGTCGAATTTCCCGGATTTACGAGCTAGCTCTATGAAGTCCTGCTTCGATACCTGACGACAGGCAGGGATAGTTGCGTCTTTTTAAATATCCATTAACAGTAAATCTCTGACTAATTTGGGGATTAGCGGCTTCAATCAACGGTATGCCGTTGCTGTATGCATGAAGCAAGAAGGAGCAGGGGCAGAGTTTATTGTTAACTTGGACCTAGGATGAGCTGGCTCGAGTGGAAGTGTGGAATTCATCGTAAATTTGCATCCCCCCCCCCCAAATTGTTCTTATAATTAATGACTATTACTTTTAAGTATTCTATCTATGAGTAATAAGTCCAGTTATGATGAATCCATTTAACTTGATCTAACAATAAAAAAGGTTCACCGACTAATGAATCAACCCGTGATCGCGAGTGACCGAGTCCGGTCGACTCTATGACCTAATCGAGTCAGCCAAGATTAAAGCGGCTGGTGCTAGCCTGCTAGGGCGGAGTAGGGGTGCTTTCATCGACTGACTATAAATTGCTAGAAAACGTATGACTAAAATAATCTTGTAAAGAATAACTAAATTGAAACTTGAAAGATGAAAGCGGGTGGCATGGGTTGAGATCAGCTGACCTTGAGATCGTCGGAGGGCTTGTAACAAGCAAAATCGACGAGGTAGATGGGCCTAGGCCTGGACATGAAGTAAAGGGAGACGGTGAACACCAAGACACCAAGGAAAGCGAGGACGGTGGCGAGGTCGTAGGAGGTCTCCTCCCATAGCTTCCTCCACAGTTCTTCCCTACTTAGACTCCCCACTTGAGCACTCAACAGCAACACTAACACGGGTATGGTGGCAAAGTAAACAGCGTGGTTGATGAGATAGTGGTATCCCAACTTCACGTACTTGAGGTTTACCGACTGAACGAAGTCCGGAAGCCGGCGACGAACTCGGACTGAGAAGGTCAGGGAACCGGCGTCGGGGCCTGATGACTCGACCCCGCGGTTGACTATCTCAGTGGAGAGAAGGGCCTGCTCTCCTGCCATCTGAACCGAAGATGAGACAGAATCCAGATCTATGGAGAAGGGGGGGAGGGAGAGATTGACAAGAATGGTAGGAGGTTAGGGAAGGAGGGAAGATGTGGGTTTATAASCTGTAAGGGGTGGTGGGTGAAGGATAGTTAATGTGTGCACCCAACTGCGCTGCGTGTGGTTGGAACTGCCTGTGTTCTCCATTAATGAAAATTTAAAGTTGTTCAAAGTTTCAAAGGGGTTGTTCTCTTCCCTTTCCTGGGAAAATGTAAAATGACTAATATGTCCTTATTATTCTGAGGGTGTGAGTCTCTAGTTAGCAGCTAGTCTGGTTACCGAGGATGTTGATCTTAGTTCATATGGAGAAATAACAGAAAGTGATAATCAAAGAAGGCAAAAAGTTGACCCAACTTGAAAAAATAGGATTGATGATATCATATTTAGCTACATGAATGAATTTTAGAAAGACCAGACCCGATCCAATCTGAAAAAAACTTGGATTAGATTGGGTTGGATAATCGGTCAATTCATTGACTTGATTGTCAGGCCTAATTGAGAGTCTTGAGACTATTTATGTATTGTTATAAATTTTTATTTTTTAATCTTTATTATTTAGTCTTTACTCATTATTATTTATTTTTTCAATTATTGTGTTCAAATTTTTTATTTTATGTTTGGAATTTTAAAGTTAATTCCTTTAATTTTGACATTATATATATATATATATATATAATGTTTTAAAATACAAATTATTTTGTATGAATGACCCGGATTGATATATGGGTCGACCCAAACCTCCAAACCTGGACATTTAGGATTAAGGGCTAGCATTTATCGACTTAACCCAAAATAAACCTAAAGTGTTTTAATCCAACCCGAACTCGACTCACCCAACCCAATTGCCATGTCTACATACCATTGACATGTAAGTATGGTGAAAACAGTGGAAGGAGCAGCAGATTAGGGATGCCATCAGTTGGGGTCTAGTCGTCTACAATGAGTTTGGATCAACCCAAATATGTCCGGGTCAAGCGGGTTTACCATTTGATCCGGCTCCGGCCCACTCATCTCTAAGAGGAGAGGAATACTTGCCAGGTGAGAACTGAGATGTGTCGGGTTAGGGCGCCTGGGTCTGGAAGTCTGGAACACATGCATCACACATGTACGTTTGTTTGCCTAAGGAATGGATGAGGGATGACATGACAGAAAACCAAACTTGATTAATATTGACCATATGTTTCTCCCTTGGTTCTGTTTCGGCTGAAATTCCAATGCAGCTGGTTTTCACTTTGGAATGAACTGGCGTCATTCCATAACACAAACAGTCATGCCACACCCCGCATCCTCGAATTGGCAACAATATTGACTCAAATTAAATGGTTAGAAACAGTTTGTATAGGTTGCGCCATGTCCACATCGCACAAGGGCTCCCCCAAATGTCTATTTGGTGTCATAAAATCTCACTAACAAATTAAAACAAGTAATAAACTATATTTATAAAATTTGATAATAAAACTGTAGTTGATAGATAAGGATATAACAAAGTCATGTGAAGATGGAAATGTCGATGTTTATTCATATTTACTAGCAAATAAATCGGTGCAATTAATGCATGGGATTCAATAGAAATTTGGTCAGTTGTGGGTTGGCAAATTCGATTTTTGACATTAAATTAGACTAATATGTATATTTAGGATTGATCTTGAGTTGGTCCATAATCTTATCCACTCCATCTAATTCATATCTCTACTATATTAGAGATGGTCAAAAGGGATTAATAAAGATTTAAAAAGAAATGAGAGATTTTCTAAGAAAGTCTTAAGAATGATTCGATTAGAGAGAATAATAATAAATTTTAAAATTCAATTACCGTACATTCATAAATATTTGTTGTATGTTAAATTTGGATCTCAATCAGTTATGTTTATTTTTCATTAACTCACATTTCACAAAATATACTTTCACATTTAACCAAATGTACTGACTATCGTATTCAACCAAACATGTCTTTTTTATTACATGGTGCAACAACTTTATCAAAGAAAATTAAGACCTATTAATCTAAAAGTAAATAAGTATATATGTGAGAAATGAGAGGATGATTAGACCCATGCAACATTAACGTGAGAGGATTCATGATTTCTTTAATCCTTCATCTAATATAGGTATGATAATTATGTTAATCTACAATTATCAGTTATAAATGTTATATTTCATAATATAAATACTGAAATAGTTCTAATTAATTACTAATGTTTCCATGTGTGGCTTAATCATTTTCTTCTTCTACTGTATATGTGAAATCCCATTCTTATACATGATGATATCTGAAATATGAATTAATAATTCAAGTAAGCTTGAATTTAATATATTGGTGCTTACCCATGCAGAGTATATGGAGAAAATAAAAAGATAATGGTAACTGGTTAGTAGTTAGTAGTTAGGAAATAATTAGGTTCTATCCTAACACTTGCATTGGGAATTTCAATTTGGCAATAAACTACTTTACTTTACTCGTGTAGGTTGGCAACCGACCCTTGTTATTAGTAGTTATCCAATGGCTCTTGTGTTTGGGAGTAAGTAAAGGTGTAAAACAAGACAAAATTTTCTTCAGCTTCTTCAAGAAACAAGTTCGGGAACAAAATAATATTTGTCACGGAGAAGGGGGCCCAAGTGGCTTGGATCAGTGAGAAAGGACCAATAGATAGGAAAGCAAGACCATGGTCCACGATTAAATGTGGATGCATGGATCTAGTCCCACCAAACGTCAGAGAGAGTATCCGCATAGAAAATCAGCGCTATCAGCTTTGGTAAAGTTGCTTTTCTACACCTCTCAACGGCTGTGCTACCCAGTTTTAAACTGTTTGTCGGCCCAGTTAATCTACAAGTTGGGCCGTCCAACTTAATGCCGCTCTCATTGTTAGTTTGTTACAGAGGACAACTGGCAACTAATTACTAATGGGCCACGATCACGAACAGCCCAAGCCAAAGCATTTAAGATTTTTTTTTTTTTTATGTTTTTAAAGAGTTCATAACTTCATATCTCCTCCTCACATCTGTCGCCTCACAACATCCCACAGCATATTTTCACCATATATTGAAAACATCTCACAATGATAATACCAGAATCGATGATGTTATCATCGAAAAATGTTTTCAATACACGGTGGTATGTGGACTCATTTTTTTTGCTTTGGGCTTCCACCTGCACATGTGATCAACCGGCAACGTGGCAAAGGATAGGACTAGGGGGTGGAAGGGGGGCATGGAAATTAGGGAAGCTTTGCGGGATAACACGTCCCCCCAAAATCAGAAAAGAGGAAGAGACAAAACAAAAGAAGACCAAAAACATCCACAACCATGCCGTTGAAAGCTTTCTTAGCAAGTAGTCGGCCGCCTGATTACTGGTTAGCAATGACAAAAGGTTCTGTATATTTCACCATATTACATTGAATACAAGAGAATGATTATATACTAAATACAAAGAGTCTTTCTAGGAAGGAAAAAACGAATTTGCACAATCCTAGGCTAGAATTACTGATACTCATTAAATAGGAAAATATATAATAGAAATCCCTATAATCTCTCCAAGAAAAACTCTATTACCAATTCACGCCAACACTCCCCCTCAAGTTGGTACATAGATGTCTCCAATGCCCAACTTGTCCAGTGAGTTGTAAAAAACTCGACTTGAGACAACTTTTGTAAGTATATATGCTAATTGATCCTCTGATTTTACAAAAGGGAATTGAACTATCTTAGTTTCAAGTTTCTCCTTGATGAAATGTCGATCCACTTCAACATGATTTGTTCGATTATGTTGAACTGGATTATGAGCAATCTCTATGRCTACCTTATTGTCACAATACAGATTCATTGCAGAATTTGATGAGTAGCCTATTTCCTCCAACAACCTCTTTAGCCAAAGAAGTTCACAAAGTCCTTTAGTCATGCCTCTAAACTCAGCTTCTGCACTTGATAATGCAACCACGTTCTGTTTCTTGCTTCTCCAAGTTACCAGATTACCTCTGACAAAGGTGAAATACCCTAATGTAGATTTTTTGTCAGTGTTACTTCTTGCCCAATCAGCATCGGTATAACCATCAATATTTAGATGATTATGCTTTTTGAACATGAGTCCCTTTCCTGGTGAAGACTTCAAGTATCGCAAAATTTGGAGCACTGCATTCATGTGATCTTCACTAGGATTATGCATAAATTGGTTCACCAAACTAACGACATAGGCAATATTTAGGCGTATGTGGGACAAGTAGATCAGTTTTCCCACAAGTCATTGATACCTTTCTTTGTTTGTAGGTGTTTGATTAGAGTATTCTCCCAATCCATGATTCTAAACCATAGGTATGTTTGCAGGCTTACAATCAAGCATTCATGTTTCTGTAAGCAAATCCAATACATATTTCTTTTGTGATAGAAATATGCCTTGACTTGATCGAGCTACTTTGATGCCTAGAAAGTATTTTAATCCGCCAAGATTCTTCATTTCGAATTCGGTTGCCAAGTGCCTTTGCAAGCTACAAATTTCCTCCTTGTCATTCCCTGTAATTATCATATCATCAACGTAAATTATTAGGGCTGTTACCATTCCTTGCGAAAGTTTTAAAAGTAGAGTATGATCTGAATTACTCTGTTTGAAACCTTGTCTCTTCATAGCCAAGCTAAATCGTCCGAACCACGCTTTGGGTGATTGTTTCATCCCATATAATGCCTTCTGCAGCTTACATACAATCCCAGGTTGTGATGAGGTAGTAAAGCCAGGTGGGATGTCCATATACACCTCTTCCTCAAGATCTCCATGCAAAAAAACATTTTTTACATCGAACTGATGTAGAGGCGAATCTAMGTTTGCAGCAAGAGATAAGAGAATTCTGACAGTATTCAACTTTGCAACTGGTGAAAACGTCTCTTGATAATCTATACCATATGTTTGGGTATATCCTCTTGTTACAAGTCTTGCCTCGTATCTCTCTATTGATCCATCCACATTGTGCTTAATAGAGAAAACCCATTTACATCCCATTGTTTTTTTTTTCCTTCTGATAGTGGTACAAGGATCCACGTACCATTCCTTCACAAAGC